CATGGTATATTCAATATTCTTCTCCAATACCACAATTCAAAGGCATCAATTCTTCTTCTGTCTTCATTATTCATTGTCCAGCTTTCACATGCATGTGAGATGATTGAAAACACCATGCTTGGGTCAGGTGCACCTTAGTCTTCAATGTGACATCTTTACTTTTCAACACTTTAAGGAGGTATTTTGTAGCAGATTTGCCCGATGCAGTGTGTCTTTTGATTTCTTGACTGCTGCTTCCATGGGTGTTAATTGTGGATCCAAGTAAAATAAAATCCTTGACAACTTCAGTCTTTTCTCCATTTATCATAATGTTGCTTATTGGTCCACTTGTGAGGATTTTTGTTTTCTTTATGTTGAGGTGTAATCCATATTGAAGGCTGTGGTCTTTGATCTTCATCAGTAAGTGATCGAAGCCCCTTTCACTTTCAGAAAGCCAAGCTGTGTCATCTCCATAATGAAGGTTGTTAATGAGTCTTCCTCCAATCCTGAAGTTGCATTCTTCTTTATATAGTCCACCTTCTTGGATTATTTGTTCAGCATACAGATTGAATAAGTACGGTGAAGGTATACAACCCTGACACAAACCTTTCCTGACTTTAAACCATGAAGTATCCCCTTGTTCTCTTCCAATGATTGCCTCTTGAGCTATGTACATGTTCCTCATGAGCATGATTAAGCATTCTGGAATTCCTATTCTTCACAATGTTATTCATAATTTGTTATGATCCATTAGGGACATAATTTTCAAAAGTTAAAAAGAACACTCAATATATAACAATTGTGTGTCAGAGATTTATTTGTCTCAGTAATGAAGTATCAGCAAGATGTTAAGGAAATTCAAGGGAGAATATGAGAGACTGAAACATAATACTGAAGCATAAAAGAAAGGACTCTGAAATAAGACTGCTAAATTAGACATAAATGCAATTTTGAATAATGTTGTAGATGAGGAAAAGAAGGGGTCCCTAGGTGGCTCAAATGGTTAAGTGCTCAGCTTGTAGCTGAATGGTTGGCCTTTCTAGTCCACCCAGAGGCACCTTGGCAGAAAGGTCTAGAGATCTACTTTTGAAAAGTCACAGCCTTGAAAATCCTATGAGCAGTTGTACTCTGCACACACGGGGTTACAATGAGTCCGAATCAACTCAAAGGCAATTGGTTGGATTGGTTATGGGGGAAAGAAACTCCACAATCTCCATTTGTAAAAGAATAAGCTTTTGAAAAGGGTCCCTGTACTGAAAAGCTCCTAGTCCAGGGGAACACTGATGAGAAGGCCGACAGAGAGAGAAAGACTTTCCCTGGAGCTGACACCCTGAATTTGGACTTTTAGCCTACTTTGACTGTGAGGAAATAAACTCTTCGTTAAAACCATCCACATGTGATATTTCTATTATGGCAGCACTAGATAACTAAGACAGAATTTGGTACCGAGAGTGGGGTGCTGCTCTAACAGATACCTAAAATGTGGAAGTGGTTTTAAAACTGTGAATGGATAGAAATGTGGCAGTGACAGAGAAACAGCAGCAGCAGAGAACCTACAGCAGTAGAGAAGCAGCACTAACAGAGAACATACAGCAGCAGAGAACCTACAGCAGCAGAGAAGCAGCAGCAGCAGAGAACCAACAGCAGCAGAACCAGGAGACTGGTGAAAGATGGCGCTGGAGCCAACCCAAGGAGCGACAGAGCTGAATGCCTGCGAGCAGGAGGCTTCCTGGTGGAGTGGGGTGCCTCTGGGCACTTATTGGTGGAGCTAGGCTTGCCAACCCACGGAGCGAGGGAGCTGAGTGCCTGTGTGCAGAACGCTTCCTGGCGGAGTGGTGTGCCTCCGGGCACTTACTGGTGGAGCTACTGAGCTTTGGAACACTTGCCCCAGCAGGACAGATGCAGGCATGAGGAGGCCATAGGAAGCAGAAGCTGCAGCACTTGATGAGTAAGACAAAGCTAGAGATTAATATCAAGTCCATGAGGGCCACCTGACTGAGCAGGAAGTACATAGGTTTGTGGAAGTAAGAATCCATCCAGATCAGGAGAATGAGAATGGAATTCAAGATGAGAGCCACGATGTAGATCAGAAGCATGACACCAATAAAAAGATTGATATGTTTTATATCAAAGGAGAGGCCCAGAAGGATGAAATCTGTGCCTGATGTTTCATTTATCTGTACCTATGCTTTATTTTAAAAAATTAAATAACAGAAGGAAAACTGACAATGAGATATAATGGAGTGCTATTGGACTATGGATTTAACCCTTCAACCCTTTTCCTCTGTCATCCTTGACCAGAGTTCTTTGGTCAATGTAAACATATTAAAGAAGCCCTGAGCCAATTTTCGTAGGCATTGACCTGATTTCTGATTTTCCCCATTCACAACCTTATTTCTGTTTTTCTTACTTTCCTCATTCACTCTTATTTTCAGGAAAGAGTCACTGGCCACAAGAATGATTGCACTGCTATTGGCAAGGGGTTCAAGTTGTGTTGGGCACAAACCTGGTAGCATATCAGGATCACCTTGGGAGGCTCTTCTATGATTGGTTCCCTTGTGGCCTTATTTTTCTCCAATTTCTGATTGCCCATTTAGAATGGGACTTATTTTAAGCTAGTATCTGAGGTGATGCTGATATTCCTAGTCAGAGTGACTGTCTTTGGAAAGGAGTTCAGTTATCTCCATCCAGGCTGAGAGAGATTAAAATAGTTGTCTTGGGTGACATGGCTACTTCTTGTCAGAGAACTAGCTCATTCATTTATAGTACACTGCCATCCTCATGATTATTTCATGTTGGCAATTGATTACATTTTATGTCATGTTGTTTCTAGTTTAACTTGTCATATTATACTTAATAAGATTCTAAATTACTTCATAAGAGGAAATACTTATTATTTCCTTTATACCCAAGTTCACTGGATTTAAACACGATCAATAAGTTAATGAGTTCCTCTAACTCTAGACTTGGATATACAACTATGTGGACAACATCTCATGAGGATGAGTAAGGAGAATTACAAATTAACTTATTTAAAACACAACTCTAGATTTCCTCACCCTAAATTTTCCTTCCTCCAGTTTTCCCATTTAAGTCAAATTCACCACCATTCATCCATTGCACAAGAACAAAATCCTAGGAGTTATCTCTGACTCCTATTTTTCAAACCAGTTCTTTGACAAGTCCTATTAATCTGCATTCAAAATATGTCCTGAATATGACATCCATCACTGTCACCCTACACTAAGCCACAGCACCCTTATCTGGATCTGTGCCAAAAATAGTCTTTGTTTTGAGACACTCGGTTTACTGGTTTGTGTATTGATGTATTTGTTTTGTCTTCTCTGTGATGGAAGTGATCTTGAGATTACCCAATCTACTCCCGTTGTTCTTTTATGCATGAATACAGTGAGGCCCATAGAGATCCAAAGACTTGTTTTAAGTCTCCAAAATTGTAGTCTGAAAAGCCTGGTATTCAGCACAGAGAACTGAATAATTTCCTAAACTCTTTTCAACACAGTCATTTTAGTTAGTCATGTCTGTGTCCATGCTGTTTAATAAAAACCTCTAAATTGATATACAGATGCAATTTCGTATACCAGTAAAAGCCAGTTACCAGCAAGTCAATTTTGACTCATGGCAACCCCATGTGTGTCAGAGTGAACTGTGCTCCATAGGGTTTTCTATGGCTCAGTTTTTGGAAGTAAATCACTAGACCTTTCTTCTGAGGCACTTCAGAGTGGACCTGAGCTGCCAATAACCTTTCGGTTAGCAGCTGAGTGTGTTAATCATTTGGGACAACCTAGGGACTCCACAGTTGCCATTGATTCATGTAGAGTGGTTATAAATGGGAAGATACATAGAATGGAATATAATAAACACATTTATCACTTACAATGTAAATTATACAACTATACTCACTATGTTAATGATTTATAATCTTTGTTATATTTGAATATACATACTTTCAAGTATGTAAGTTTTATTCATAGAAAATTTCCCAAGCTCTTCTTAGTTATACATTATTTTCTTATAAGGCCATTCAGATTCAGCTATATAGGCTCACATGAGATAAAAGAGTCCTTAAATTTACATATTATTTCTTCATTTGGGAATAAGTCTGTGTATTGGTATGCTAAGCATTTTGATCGCCATTCAACTATATCTTTTATCAACTGTTCATCTTTAGAGCAGTGTGAGTGGCAAAAGACCTCTAAGCAGTGTCAGTGTCTGAAAAGAGAGAGAGAGAGAGAGATCTTTGATTTAAGCCAAAGCTAGCCTTAAGGGCTCAGGTTTTCAACCTCACAGATGTCCTTCTCTTCCTCAGAGCAGTTTCATTGCAAAGAGTGAGAATATAACCTTTTTTTTACCACTTCTGATAACACTGAATGTAAAGACACATTCAAGGCCCTGAATACTTTATATAATTTAATTTTTCTTTGAATTTTTTTTTATTGTACTTCAGGTGAAGG